GATGACGACGGGCTGACATCAGCGAATAAAGGAAGGGGTGGATAGGGATTTGAGGAGGATGCGCGGGGGGTCGTTGTGGGTGGAGGGGTGGTCGACTGAAAATTGTGTGCGTGGAGATGCGTAAGTGCCTTCTCTCTGGGCGCCATTGTGCTGCTGTGTACGGGTGCGTGGGTTGTGAGACGTGTGTGCGTGCGTGTATGGTTTATGTAGGAAGGCAATGATTTTAAAAACAGGGCCGTAGCACGGAGAACCAATCACAGCTGAGCCCGGACCCGGATACGATGATGAAATCAGACGGGGTTTGCTGAGAGAAATGGATAGAGAATGAGAGAATGATGATAACGGGAACGTAGAGGGCGAGGGAGGGAATTAGGACATGGGTGGATGTTTGGAAGCCTTGTGATGCAATGATGAATTTTTGGTTATCAGTAAAGTTTTCGCTTTCGACGTTTTCTCAATCGACAGGAAATAATTATTTTGATTGATACTTTTTTTGGAAATTTTTTTTTTAACCTTTTAAAATCTTTCTGTGATTATTATTACAGCTTCGTTATTTATCATTGTCTTAAGATTTTCTTATGTATTGATAATTCGTCTAGCGTCATCGTATGATTTTTTTTATCGTCCCTTAAGAGAAACCTGGTACCGAGGGATGCTGCGGATGCCATGACACTACTTCCAGACGGGATTCGAGCAGTGGAAAATGTTGGAGTGTTCTTCTGAAAAGGAAAAAAAATTAGTTTTTTTTATTTGTTCAAGGGTGACAGAATTTGTCATAACGAGAGACACCCTTGAAGAGTTTTTATGATTGTCACAGAGGAGCTACGAAAGATCTAGCAAAGGTCTAGCGGTAAGACCTTAGGTCCACGGGAAGGGCCATGCTAGCTCGTTCGTAGGCGATAGTGCTGGCGGCCGACTCCGGGCGCGCACGCGCTTTTTCGAAAAATCAATAAAACGAAAAGCTTACCTAATGCTATGTTACCAGGAGGAGGTAGAGGCTCGGGGCAGATGTAGAGTAGACTCCGCCTTCGCCTACTAACTATACAGGCTACGCAGGCTACACGTACCGGACGGGCGTCGGGGCTATAGGGGTTCCCAGTGATCGTCACATAGATACCCGCTCCTACCGTTGCCACCAGATGATCATCTAGATGACTCCCCTCCGACTCTACTCTCTCCTAAATATCCAGGGTGAACCATCCCGAACGAGACGTCAGAGCCTAGCGTCGAATCCCGCCATCTTAGAATTTTAGAAATTTCAACCCTAAAAGTCATATTTTTCAGAGTCGTTCATCTAGCGTCTTATGAAGATTCCTTGATAAGAAACATATTTTGAAAATTTTTACCAGTCGGATATTTTTGGTTTCAATTATTATTTTCGAAAAATTTATTATTAATATTATTATTACACTCCGATCGATATTGCCTATATCATCTTCTTTGCAATTTCTTTTTATTTCTTAAGTCGCCAAACGATGATGGAGATTGTGAGAGAGAGGGTCATTCAGGGAGTGGGTGGTTGAGTAAAATAGGGGATGCGAATGCGGCCTGCCATGATTAGATTGTGGCTTGTGCTCGAGGCATCCGACTAGGTTCAGCGCGTTAGCGAATTCGCTCTGTTGAGTGTTGACAAGTCCGCATCCTCGCGTGCCTTTAGCGGTGCCCTTGTAATTCTAACGAGCTTATCGGCCGAGAGCCGCGTTTTCCGGACGGCTTGTCATTCGGCCTGAGCTTTCACCTTTTATAGCAATTCCGGTTTTACCATTTCCCATATCCCTCGTAGTCTATAGCGCCGATGGGTCTCACAGTAGGAAAGTGCATCGGCCGCAGCTCGCAACGCTAAATGAATACTGTGTTTGGCTCTTGGGGTAGTACGTAAAAATGCATTGACTGATCGATCGATCTCACGCCGAATTAATGGACATTAATGTTTTCTCGCGCGGTTCGCCGCAACCGTGAACGGATTAAAATAATTAAACCCTCCTACTTCCTAATGGGGAAAGAGCATGAATTTTCCATGAGATTTTCGACTGTCTAAATATGCTCATATCTACTCGTGCACTTTCAGTCGGCACTTTAACGCATGTCAAATTATATTCTAGAAAAAATAGTTTTGACAGCTAATGATTTTGTGGAAATTTTTGAAATTTTGAGAATTTGTCATTTTCAAAATTTATTCCTAAAAGATGTCAAAAAAATGACTGGTAGGAATTTTGGTAATAGAAATAAAGTATATGGGAATGAGAGGTTGGTGCGATGGAAAAGAAAATATAAAATGTCGAACGAAGAGGGAGAATTAATTGTCTTAGACGTTTAAGCGATGTAAACAGCGGAGGTCACGAAAAGGGAAAGCAGGGTAAAAGCATCGACAAAAGTGCAGTTTAAAACTGGCTGAGTTTTTACGTGGTGAGTTGGTACGCGAGGAGGATAGTTTTCACGATTTTGCAAGGACTGTACCGGTAACCCTTCAAGTATAACCACCCCCCATGGTAGTCATGGCGACGCGGACGTGGCTTTCCTCCCCGAGCCCCTGAGCCACCCCCTAAAAACAAGAGTGTAGTTGCTCGGATCACGTGGCCTCCGGAGCGTCAAGGGGTGGGAGCCTGAAGGGAAGTGAGGATAGAGGCAGAATAGGATAGAAGGGGTAGTTCCTAATTGCACCGGGTGGGTGGAACACTAGAGGGGCTCCAGAATTGATGCTGGAATTTTGAGGTTAGGTTAACTCGGTTCTCTCTCTCTTCCCATATATACGGATCCCGACAACGGGGTTGGTGGTCCCATAGACTGAAAAATCCTGCGGTGAACCGGCCGGGCAGGGGTCGTTTTCAAAATCCGCTAGAAACGTAATGACCTACCGAAGAAATTTTCCTACCCTGGACACTACTGTCTGGAATGTCTCCGCCATTTTTGTACCTGGAGAACATGCCAATTAAGAGAAGAATTTTGAAAGAGAACCATTTACTACCTCACTGTTTTTCCAAATTTTTCATCTCATGTTGAGATTCCAGGTACCGTAAATAACGATTTTTAAATTATGCAAAACGAAAATTTACGAAAATTTTTTTTCTCTTTAAAAATATTATGCTGAAATATTTTTCTAAGATGCATTTTTCCCTTACTTTTTTAACACCTTTTTGAATTTTTTTTCGAGCGATTTTTACACATTTTTTTCCTTCGTCATTCGAGGATTTTCCGGGCTCCGCCCTGAAAGTCGAGGTCGAGCGAGTCCCTTTTCGGGAGCCCGGCCGACGAAGAGGGTAGCGCTTGTCCGCGGCGCAGCAGAGAGGGTGGTTGTTGGACACGACCCCCGATCAATGAAGGTGAAGCGCGCGCAGCTTTCAATTTTTTGAAAATCTACCCGCCAACAGGGTGCTCCGGACCCTTGACGTCTGAATATACGACCCAAGATGAAAATTGTAAAGCATCATGGAAAATTTGAATCCTGCCATACTCTGAAATCCGAAGGGATACTGAACAGAGTCAACAGTAAGATTTTGAAATTTTACCGTACTATAACTAAAAGTATTACAATTTTAAGAAAACAATGTAAAGACGGTAAAAATAAAAAAAGAATGAATCTTAGACCTTCGATGAATGAATTTGCATGATCTTTCAACATGGTCTCATTTTATTAAATGCAGTACCTTTTATATAGATGTGTCAAAAATCAGGAGCTACTAAGAAACATTAAGAAGAATCTAAACTAAAAATATCTTCAAGTCCAAATGGATCTACGATCGTCCGCTTCGAAGAAACTCTATGCGTTACGAGATAATGGCGCCATCTGTCGGTATTTTTTAATAGGAACTTTTCTCCGGAGAGTAGAAGGTTCAGCAATGTTCACCGAAATTCCGTCGGATGGCGCCACCGAGACGCACTTCGAAATTCCCTAGAAACAAAGAAAAAATCGGAAAAAAAACAGTTTAAGAAACCAAAACACCATTGCAAAATTGAATTCAAGATTTAGACGCTCCAGAATAATTAGATTTTTCTAAAATAACCTAAAAAATATATTTCCGTCCTTGTCCAAAGCAATTTCCCAGAATTCTTACCATTGCCCAGTGAGAAACAGCTCCAGCAGCGTTTCCACCGAATGAAATTACCAAAGTTTTAATGTGAAGGGCATTAACCAACTTTCCCAATGCACTTTCCCACTGCACTTCTGCGCGGTTTGTACTTCGCCGAGTAAAACCATCATAGGTGTAGCCACGCTTCGCTCGGAATCGTTTCGTAAAATCCCTTGATCGAATTACCTCCCTCAACTGGGACACGAGATGTTCACCAGCCGTCACAGACGTACTCAAATTACCCAGGAATAAAACATGCGTCAACGTACTTTTCGAAGACTTGCAAAAAAACGTCATCTTTTCATTTGATATTTGAAAAATCTCCAAAATTAAAGATGCTGCTGCCATCTATCGGACTTCATTGGCATTCTTGTTCCATTCGGCGAATAGCATCAGGAACGGTATAATAAATTATTCGAGATAGATGATGTAGCCACGCCACACCAGTCTGAGCCCTGCACTATACTGCAACTGCTCTACTCTCCTCTACTCAACCATACTCTATTCTACTCTGGTCTACTCTGGTCTACTCTGGTCTACTCTAGAATAGTCTAGTCTAGTTCAGGTCTCCTCTACTCTCTAGCCTCTCCAGTAGCTACGACTACGTACTACGGCCTCCGCTGCTCAGCAGTCGGCACTGTTCTGCTAGCGGGTATTTATGCCGAGTCTGGCCGCCATGCTTCATGTGAGCAGGATAGTTTCTCTGAGTTATGTCGACCGCGTTGCTCTTGATAGATTTTACAATTTACGATCCACCAGCTACACCGGTCTGCCCCAAAATATCCACCTGGTCTGATCTATGCGCATAAATGTCTCCAAGTTTCTGGACCAGTCCTCTCAGAATCTTAAAATTTCAAGATTTACGATAAGGCCGTTTTTCCCATATTATGCCTTTCTTCTTATCAGTAACGAGAGGTGAATCATAAATAACCATTAAATGCTTCATACGTTTATTTGATCAAATATCAAAATTCTTTTTATTTTCTTCAAAAATCTTCAGATCCTTGTCAGACATTGTAGGTTCAATATTTTTCGTTCTCTGAAACAGAAAAACGTACAAGGTCACTTATTGTGCCCATAAACATAATAGATGCAGATTTATTATAAAAAAATATTCCGGTAAGAAAATTCTTCTCAACGGTTAACAAACACGTGTAACATATATGACGTAACACATGCATCATCATTCATACTAAAAATTCATCCCCAAGAATATAAGTACCCTTACAAGCTTTCTTAGAGTACAGCATCCAGAAGATTTGACCTCTCTCATGCCACTGCAAAACGAGTTAGCAGCATCCACCCCATGAATAAAAATGATCTTATTCCAGAATCATCACGAGTACCGGTTTTCGAGAATGCATTCAGATATTCGTAATGCTGTACTACATGCTTTTCCAAATAAAAAATTATTTATGCCACCCTTCGCTGATTTTAATTATGAAAAAATTTCAAGAATTAAATAAGGAAAGTTATTCTGCGTCCAGGTGGAAAAATTATGTTTTTTTTTCATACAAATTGAATAAATTGCCAAAGAAAAAGATGAATGCATGTCGGTATCCTCGTATACGCAGAGTGAATTCAGATTCCCGTAGTAAATGTTTTTCACTCGCGGGACAAATTAACAGAGCGGTAATTAAATGAGCAATCTCTCTTCGGACATCCTTCTGAACCCCTCATAACCGTGACGCGTTGAAGTGAAAAGGGCCGGGCCAGGCGCAACCCCTTGGTCGAGGGGTGCGAACGCGAGTCGGATCCTTCCTTTAGCGATGTACCGCGAAAAATCATCCCCATCAAATTTAGGTCACTCGGTACGCTCCACCAGGAACTTTTCACGCCGTTCGGACAACCCTTGCCGAAGGCGTCAACCCCTTATTAAAAGTATTAAAAATCAGGATGAAAAAAAATATCAGGATGAAAATAAATCAGCCACCAATAAAAAAAAAGATATTCAAACTAACAATTCCGTAAAATCATTTAAATTCTCATCGTAAATCCGGAACGCAAGCATCCCCAAAACTCAGAAACCGTAATCAAACAGTTTCACAAAAGTTTTGGCTTTCCTCGTCCTACTATGGAACAATGAGAATATTGTTTTCCAATCTGCGATACGAGTTCCAACAAATTTCACGAAATAGGCTACTCGCAGATAATACGCGCAATAATTGTTGCTGATGGGCAGGTGGCTATTAAGGGTAGGCGGGGGGGAGGATTTCAGAGGTTTTCACGGAGGGGATCCAGAGGGCCAAAGTTGGCTGGAAGGTTCTAAGAGTGAGTGGTAGGGACGCAGGTACGTAGGTGAGTGGGTCGGTGGATAAGTATCGTGGTAGGACGGTAGTCTCTGAAGGTGACGGGGGGTGCAAGGGGGTACGGGGGTAGGTCCTAAACCAAACCCACCGACCGCAACTCGATTCTATCTTGATCAATCAACCAGCTCGTCCCTGTCCCTAGAGCGTTTCCAGTGAGGATTCTAAGCGCGACGAAGCTCGTTCGCTTCACCATCGGAAAGCCTTACGTTGGCGGCCATGAATATAGACGCAACGATCCTCGCACTCCTATAAGCGTTATTACGTACCTAGATGAAAGGTAGATTGAGTTAGACCGACATTAAAGCTGGGCATCTACTGGGGAGATAGGAACGAGTCTCTGATATCAGTGCCCCATCCTATAACCGATGTACTAGCTGGCTTGGAGACCGGCCGGGGGACTTCGCTGCTGAGAATGCTTGGATGACTGACTTTACTAGGAAGGAAGATGGTTGTGATTTGGGTAGAGAATTGCAAGGGATGAAGGAAATATGGTATGGATGAAGGACGTAGAGGTATGAAGGAAATTTGTCAGGCTAACAAGGTGTTGGCTTGTCGCGACGCTTTCGTCTCGACGCCCGATTCGACGCCGTTAATTGTAGTTTAATGAAATTGAAGGATATTAAAAGGATAAATGTTGTATTTTTTTAATATGAATTATTCCTCACTTTTGTTGTTATTTTTGTGGGATTTTTGTAAAATTTAGATACTGGCTCACAACGATCGATTCTTTAGGATATTCGTGCAGTTTTTTTTTTTTTGTGAAAAATTGTCAGTCATGAACATTTGCTAATGAAGATTATAAAGGAAGTTCCTAGGGAGTGACAGTATCTTGTGGTTATCTCGCTAGGGCTTGGGCGTGGACCTAGACTGCGAGGATGCTGGTGTCCAGCAGAATATTATGGACTTATCAAGCCATCCTAATAGTCTCATCAGGATGCAAGCCTGTAGATCTCATCATCCTCAGCATCCCTGCTCCCCACGTACCAACGTAGAAACGGGCGAGGAATGGCGTTTCCTAGTATAGATAGCGTTACAGGAAGTAATAGCAGAGTAGCGCGGTTGAGCGACGTGTGTGTTTACAAGGGGTGCCCCGAAAATACTGAAATAAAAAATGTGCACTCTGTAGAGCTTGAAAAATATATGTAAATCAAATATACCCATGAACATTAAAATTTTGACAAACGTGTGTTTCTTCCAATAAAAAATGTGTATTAGTGGATAATTACTTGAGCGACATTATTCTAACATTCTTTGTAAGAATTTTAAAAAGATCCTGAGTTCTTACAATAAGAATTCTAGATATTCAAGAATCAGCTCGCAGCCCTCCCTAGAGTTGTATTCCATATGTGCATACCATGTATGTTAGGCGGTCCCAGAGAGTTACATAGTTTTGAGATATGTATATATATATATATTGTTGTTTAGCACGGTTTAGAATTTCCATAGATAACGGAGAATTATAACAGCGATGCGGCGTGGCTACCACGGGACGTGGAAACCCTGCACCATCGGTATGTATATAGAATGTCTGTAGAATTTCATTCTTTTCTCTATTATCTACATAATTCCGTATCTCTAATTAACTACAACATCGATACCCCGCCTTCTATTGTATCCGAATTGCATACAATTTATATAAATCACACGAACGTAGCTTAGCTACCATCACGAATAATAATATTCAATCAAAAAAATCCATATGAAACTGAAAGATCAGACTACAACATACCCTAATATTCTCTCCGCGTTAGCTACGTCGCTATAAGAAGATGCTTAATATAAGCAGAATAAGTAATGCAAAATATATTGCAAAATGGGTCCAAAAGGTCAAGCCTAAAGTGCTTCGCTCATCTTCCAGCAGCCGCTACTAATAACCCGCTTTTTCTCCAGTAACAAACTACCAACTAATCTACAGCATACAGCAGGCTGAACTAATATTGGCAAGATTCCCTAGATTGGAATTTCCACACCCTTATGGACTTAAACGAATTTTGTAAGAATTATCAAAAAAAACATAATCCAAACCCATTGCCCACACTTATAACCTAAAACCCAATATTTTTCCTACCCTGAATCAAGACTCAACGGTACTATTTTTCTTTCCTCCAGGACCAGACTTGATCGTCCAACAACTCAGAGGAGGTTAGGTTTAAGCAACTCTGTGGAAGTTGTGGGCAGGGTTGGTATCGCCAGGGGCGGAGGACGCGCGGCAACTATTATAAACTGTAGCACCTCGAACTACCGCCTCCAACCCCTTTTCCAGTAGCAGTCTCCTCCCGACACCACCACTATTTCTAGTATATACTAGTAGAAGCGGTACTAGTACCGATAGCAGTACAACGACTACTAGCACCTTCGCTGCTACTGCCGCTACAAGCAGCAACAGCACTAGGTAGGTGCACCACTACCACCTCGAAATAACCCAGGGGCCTGCCGAACTAACCTAAACCATAGAACTCTGGCTAGACTTGACTCGAGTCGACTCGACTCAGCGTACCCTCTAATCAATCAAACCCCCCAGGCATTTCGTGCAGCTCACCACTATACCTTGCGATATTGAGCTTTTGCCTTCCGGCTACCTGAACCAAGAAAAAGCATAGTTATCGTCATGGGAACCTTTGAAGCTCGTTACGGCTGATTCTGAAATTAGGCGGAGGTCGATCAGCGCAAGTGTGCTGACTAATAATTTTAGGTTAAATAGTAGATTGAATTTTTGCTTAAAATTTAACGTAAGGCTCGTTTCTTCGGTCCGACTAGAAACAACGTGGTAAATTTCCAGTTATCGAAGCACATGCGTTAAATGGGTCAGGGGCAGGAAAACGCAGCAGTAACATTACTGTAACGCTCCACTCGTTTGGAAGAAAGGGTTGCCAGTGGCCATTTTGATTCTTAAATGGCATCCGTGAAGGGTTCGCTATAACCCTCGAGGGTTGTTATCCTGTTGGAGAACTTAAGAAGGGTTACACAGCCAAACTTAATCAATTGCTTTGGACGATATTCAAAAATTTGATTTACTTATTTTTATGATTTTTACGATGATCCTTTCTTTTTTTATTATTTTATTTTCATCGATCTTATCTGAATTTTTTCATGTAGTCTTCTCGTTTATCATATTCATTTTTTACTCGACATCTCGGTCCAACTAATAGGTAATTGTCGTGCTACCATTCTGTCCCGAAGCCAATCACATTAATTTCCTCGATATCTTCGAATATTGGTAAATGGCAATAACGTCGCCCGACCTTGTCTCTTCGTCCGTTCTGTGCGGCGGAAATGGACTAATTACGAGGAAACGGGGGGCGGGTCCTCGTGGTACGAGAAAACTACCCTCCATCCCTGTCAAGAATTTCATTGACCAATCTAACAGTCTCTTCCTAAGAGATTTCCTTGATTTTCATATTTTCATCTTTTTTTCTATCTGTCAACTGTCAAAAAATATTGAACACGTGGACCGACTATATATATTTAATATAATACAGTCTCTGTATATCCACTCGTCACATATCGACTCGTTAGTGATTAATTGTATACTTAGGCACTTCGTCTTCCCACTTGAGAATTAACACGAGCTACCAATACCTGCTCAACTGTTTCTCCGTAGTGCGTGCAATACAATTAATGTAATTACTTTTGATTAAATGGAGAAACTGCATGCTTCCAGTTTCCTCGCGCATAGGATATAATACACATAGTGGTTACAGATATACCGGCATGTGGACACACATGACAC